ACTGCTCCATGGCCTGCGGAATCTTCTGGACCACGGATCAAACCCATGTGCCCTGCATTGGCCGGTGGGTTCTTACCCGCTGTACCATTCCAACACAGTATTTTAACCTCCAGGATACAATCCAAAATTACCCGACATACTTAGAACCAGGGAAATACCAGCTCACAGGAGAGAAGACAGGCTACAGCTCAGATGATGCGGATATTGGAATTACTAGACAAAGACCTTGTGGTCGGCAGAACTTTGTCCCCTAAGGCCATCACTACCAGTGTTACTTCCGAGAACAGGTTCTGTTATGTGGCAAAAGCGCTTTGCAAATGTGAGACCATCGAGGAGGTTCCCTACTTGAGCTGAGACACGAGCACTGCAGACTCCAGAAACAGGGTTCCCAGCGCTGCCCTCCCAGCACTAGTGCCCCGCCAGAGGCGGTTGTTTGGGTAATTTATCCTCCAGCGTGCTTGTTTGAATGGAAGCAGATGCGTGTGTTCATGGTCCTCCTCCTAACCAGAACTCATGTGCCACATACCTGCTTTGCACCTGGCTTGTATCCACCTTCACACCAAAGAAGCACATAGAGACCTTCTTCTAGTGATAGAAATTTCAGCAGCTACCTCTGCTGTGGACAGAGGGCTGTGCTTGCTAGTGAGCCACATGCTCATTTTCCAGCCAAGGGGGAGGCAACTTGGGAGCAGACCATTTTTTTTTTTAATAGACTTTTTTTTAGAGTAATTTTAAGTTCACAGAAACTCCGAGTGGAAGTTCCACAGATTTCTCACATGCCCCCCACTCCAGACATGCACAGCCTCCTCCATCGTCACTGCCCTGCCCCAGTGGTACCTCTGTTACAAACCTGCGTTGACACGTCATCACCCAGAGCTTCGGCAGACTTTTGAGCTGAGTTGTTCCAACTTTAGAATGGAAATTATACATCACAAAGTGGTTTTGAAGTTTTTTTTTTATTAAATGAGAATATATAGGAGCCAAGTTTGGAACACTAGACATCAGTGGTGGAAATTGTATCCAGCCACCAGAAATAGTTTTAGGAATGAGACTGCAAAACATTTTGATCACATAGAGGAAGAAAGGAAAGTGAACTGGAGTCCCTTGTCAGTCCCTAGATTTTGATTGATTCCCTCCAGGTCTCTGGAGAGGGTTCCCCTGAGGAGGTCCCCCTGGAGAGGGTCTCTGGAGAGGTCTCTGGAAGCAGAGGAGCTGCCTTCTGCCCTTTAGAGCCTGTAGGACTGGGAAGCGCTTGCTGTGTGTCTCATCTAGTTTGCATACTCTTGCCTTTTAAATGTTTATTTATAAGCACACAGAGCAAGACAAAGTAATTTCTGTTAGGCTGTAATTTATGTAAAGCAGATTCAGTGCATACATTTTTCCTTTCTTCCCATGGTCAGGCTAGAGGAAGCAGTCAGGCTGAGGCAAGACTGTTGAACAAGCAACTTCAGCTCCTACAGGGAGAGTTCTGTCACTGCTGCTCACTCCAGAGTGAGACCAAGGTTGACTGCTGTTTGCAACACGGTGGTTCTGTCTGATTTTCCAAGTTCCTTCTTTCCTGAACTCTCCTAAGCTAAAAGATGAGCAGTCGTTAAATAGGAGGTATGTGCGCATTGCTGATGCGTGATAGCAAGTAGAGCTCTCCTGGAGTGTCCAAGGGAGGGTGCCTCGTGGGCTCGGGTCCTCTCAGGAGAGTCGTCCTCTCCTGGAGTGTCCGCGGGAGGGTGCCCGTGGGCTCAGGTCCTCTCAGGAGAGTCGTCCTCTCCTGGAGTGTCCGCGGGAGGGTGCCCGTGGGCTCAGGTCCTCTCAGGAGAGTCGTCCTCTCCTGGAGTGTCTGCGGGTCCTCTCAGGAGAGTCATCCTGTCCTGGAGCATCCTCATGAGGATGCCCCGTGGGCTCGAGTCCTCTCAGGAGAGTCATCCTCCCCAGGTGAGCCTCCGGGATGTGAGGATGTCTTGTGGTCCTCGGTCTCAGCTTCAGCTGGGTGGGTATCTTCCTTTGACCAGGAGGAAATTACTGGGACAGAAGCTTGCTGCTCAGAAGACATATAAACCTGCAAAGGCCATGTTTTAGAATTCCTTGATCTAGGAAAAGTGTTTTTCCATTTATCTAACGTGTCTTTTGTTCTTAGGAGAGATGAAACAGTGGTTGATTAACAGTGTGCTGTTGAAACTGCATGAATCAAATGCACAGCTTGGTGAGCTGTGAGTGGACAGTGTCCAGCCGAGCCGTGGAGCTGCGCTGGCCACGCCTGCAGCCCCTCCCCTGTGGCCTTCCCAGGGTAGCCCCCCACGGGGACCCCAGCCCTGGCTCTTCTGGGATAGCCTCCCTGCACGTTCTTCTTGCTGTTCCTCACCTGAGTGAGCACAGTATTTTAGTCTTGCTTGCTTTGGGTTTGTTGTTGTTGTTGTTGTTTTTCAAGAAGTAGGTGTTTAGACATGACTTTCTTGTAAAAAGTCAAAGGGAAGAACCTGAAGAAATTTTTTCCATCTAAAATTTTTATGAAAAAGTATAAATGAGAATTATACAATGGAATACACAACAGAAGTGATTCAAAAAAAATACCTTGGTTGTGTGTATTGCTTCAGAACTGTAGCTTTACTTAAAAGGGAAAGGCTCATTTGGGGCCACAGCTTGTTCCAGAAGGGCCTCTCCTGTGGTGGGTGAGGCTGTGAGCTGACCTCGTCTCCCTCCACCTGTCTGCGCGCCTGGGACGCCTGGCAGCTGGGCTCGTCTTCCTGCACACCCTTGCTTCCGCAGTGGCTTCTCCCGTTTGTGAAGCTGGAATGAAAGCGCTCACATTTGTGGTTCTCAGCACCTCACGGTCTCACACTCAGCGGCATGGAAGCAGGTTTCTGCCGTGTTGATCGTGGCCGCGGCCTGTGCAGTGCCTGTGTGATGACGCGCCGCGTGCTCTTATCCGTGACGTTGACCACGGTAAGAATTACTTCTCCCAGGGCCATGCAGCCTGGAGGGAGAGCTCTGAGGACAGCGGGTGACCGCCAGCCTGAACCGCCCTCGCGGCTCAAGTGACCCGTGTGCCCATCTGCGCACGGGGTCAGCCGTTGCCTTGTGCGGAGGCTGGGCTGGGAGCTGTGTCTGGCAGGATGACCAGCTGCCTCGTCACTGTGCTCGAGCTGTGCGCGTCTCACTTTCCCGGCAGTCTTGGCTCATTTTCCGTTTGCTTGTTGATAAACCAGACGTGCAAGTCAGTTCTCAGCCGGACGGTTTCACACCCTTGCTTCCGCAGTGGCTTCTCCCGTTTGTGAAGCTGGAATGAAAGCGCTCACATTTGTGGTTCTCAGCACCTCACGGTCTCACACTCAGCGGCATGGAAGCAGGTTTCTGCCGTGTTGATCGTGGCCGCGGCCTGTGCAGTGCCTGTGTGATGATGCGCCGCGTGCTCTTATCCGTGACGTTAACCACGGTAAGAATTACTTCTCCCAGGGCCATGCAGCCTGGAGGGAGAGCTCTGAGGACAGCGGGTGACCGCCAGCCTGAACCGCCCTCGCGGCTCAAGTGACCCGTGTGCCCATCTGCGCACGGGGTCAGCCGTTGCCTTGTGCGGAGGCTGGGCTGGGAGCTGTGTCTGGCAGGATGACCAGCTGCCTCGTCACTGTGCTCGAGCTGTGCGCGTCTCACTTTCCCGGCAGTCTTGGCTCATTTTCCGTTTGCTTGTTGATAAACCAGACGTGCAAGTCAGTTCTCAGCCGGACGGTTGGGAAGGCCTTACTGAGTAAGTCTTAAGCAGGAGGCGCTTGGCAGCAGGTCACTGAGAAGCTTTTCAAACTTAATTCAAGAGATAAAAAGTTTGTGAGTTAGTTTATCTTGATAACAAAATTAGATTGAAAGAGAGAAGGCGGCCAGGGAGCTCAGCAGTGAAATCGGCATGAAACGGAGAGGACCAGGAGTCTAGTGAGATTAATTCTGCAAAATATTTACTGGAAGCTAGTCGAAGATTTTTGAAGATGATTAAGCAAAATAAAATAATTTTTGTGGCATCTGCATTCTTTCTTGATTAAACATCTGGCATTTGTTTTTGTCTTACCATGTTTAACCATTAAGTGTGTTTCCTTAAATTGACTTTTGTACATAAATAGGCATATTTAAGAAGGGAATTTGCCATAAGTAGAAGGTAACTTTATTAACAAGGATGAATGAAAGCAAGCCTATATTACTAGATTCTAGCAGATACTTAGCCCATTCTTTCATTGTTAAAGACAATGGTGTGATGGGCTCTGTTCAACTTAATAGCTTAGGGTTGGAGACCTTTCCCCACACAGCAGGGAGGGTTGGAAGGGAACAGGTACCTCCCGGGGCACCTCTGACCCTCTCAGACCCTCAGCGTCCTCATCGGTGAGGAGGGCGCCGGGGTAGCAGGCGGTGGGGGTGCGGGGACAGGGCAGCAGGCGGGGCTCCCCGTGGTGTGTACCACGCTGCCCTCCGGCGCTGGGCCTGGAGCTTCCTCCGAACCCCTGGCGACACCTATGCAGCCTGGAGACACAGCTGAGGGACCAGGACTTGCAGGGCTGGCAAAGGTGGCCCCGGCATCTCTATCCACCTTCCTTGCGTTGTCCCCTCCATGTCGGCGGGGTGGGGACCCGTGACCCAAGCTGTGCGTACCCACCTACCTTTGCTAAAAGGCCCTGGGCTGTGCACACAGCGTGTGGGCAGCACCTGAACCTCTGGGCTGGGGGCGGGAGGAGGTGGCTGGGGGCTGCCCTACTCCAGGGGGCCCCTTCGGAGGGTCTGGGGTCCGCTGGCACCGCCCAGCCTACACACCCCGGAAACCTTGGTTCCCGGGCTGCCACTGGCTGGTATCTGTGCTCCACCCGCCCGTGTGTGAGGAGAAGATAATCTTTCTAAACTGTTTCCAGGTAGTTTAAGACAGAAGTACAAAATCAGTGCTGGGAATTCCGGTCTACCCGGAATTTTCTTACGTTGTTTTAAAATTGAAATAACTGAAGATAATTGGGGTTTTTTTGTTTGTTTTAGCACACTCCTCCCTCTCAGCTGCTGAGGAATGGGGGAGCTGGAAGGAACATACAGAGTCCTGCAGACCCCGGGGGCACGCCTGGGCACCACGACCCCCGTGGGCGTCAGCACCCTGGAGCCTGGGTTGGGGCCCCTGGCAGGGGCGGCGCGGCCAGCGATGAGGACACAGCTCCGCGTGCAGCTGCTGGACGACTCCATTGAGGTGTTTGACGTCGAGGTAAGAAGCCCGGGGCCTGTGCCTCTTGTTTGCTGAAAGTCAGGTGCCGAATTCCACATTGCTGGTAGACTTTGCCTGTTATCAAGTTGCCTTAAGTGGCTCGGTAACAAAACGCTTGGAAACAGTGAGCCTGGAGAATGACATTCTCTTGACTTTCCTTTAAGCTTCTGATGCAATGTGGGCGTTGGAGAGGCTGGCCGAGTGCCGTGCAGTGCAGGCGGGAACCAGCTGGCCCGCTCCGGAGTCTTAGTGGCCAAGCGGCTGCGTGAGAGGCGCCCCTCAGCCTCACCGTGTGTCCGCTTCCTTGTCTGCATGGGGGGCGACTCCAGGCCCTGCTTCTTGGGGTGGCTGGCTGAGGGCTGAGCCTCACACATGAGGAGCCTCACACAGAACTCGTTTTTCTGGGTCAGCAATAAGAACACTTTTACTTTGAAAATTCCCTGTGGTAGCTTGCACTGATAATGTTGGCAAAAGCAACTGAATATAGCAAATGTTTGAAAACATTTTTTGTGATTTTCCAAATAGCATTAGAATGAATGGTCTTTTTAAAAGTTGCTTATTTTCATAGTGTGTGTGTGTGCTTAGTCGCTCAGTCGTGTCCTCCTCTTGGCGACCCCGTGGACTGTAGCCCTCCAGGCTCCTCTGTCCATGGGATTCTCCAGGCAAGAATGCTGGAGGGGGTTGCCATACCCTCCTCCAGGGGATCTTCCTGACCCAGGGATCAAACCGAGGTCTCCTGCACTGCAGGTGGACTCTTCACTGTCTGGCTCACCAGGGAAGGCCATGAGTACTGGAGTGGGTAACCTATCCCTTCCCCAGGGGATCTTCCCAGGAATCAAACTGGGGTCTCCTGCATTGCAGGTAGATTCTTTACCAGCTGAGCTACCAGAGAATGCAGAAATATATTATTTTTTCTAGTATTTTTTATTGGCTTAAAGTAATACCTTTGGCAGCACTTCCCTGCTCTTAATGTGACAAACCAGAGAGAGAATGAAGTCTAACTTGGGCAGAGGCTGGCTTGTGCTTGGGGGGAGGTCGGGGGCTGCACAGGAAGTGGGCAGGCGGAAGGGGCTGGAGGAAGCCGGAGCCTGCCTGCAGAAAGCGCTGTGAGAGCAGAGGTGAGGAAGGAGGTGAGCGTGGGGAGCAGGCGGGGAGCCAGCTAGGCTGGGAGGAGGGGAGGTGCCCGCGCCCCAGCTCGGAGTCCAGGGCCTGCCGGCGTCTCTTGCTCACGTGTTCCGTGGCAGGTATCCAGTGCCTGGGTTCCTAGTGTCTGGACTCGAGGACCCTGCAGGTTCTTAGGTCTCACCCGAGGAAGAAAGCAAGTATCACTTAATCGGGCGGTAACTGAAACTGGCAGGACTTGCCCGTCCGCCGTCAGCAACACTCCTGTGTTGCAAGAGGCCGACTTTGCAGGACAGGGAGCCTGGAGCAGGCACCTTTGCGCCCCGGGGAGCGGGCGGCTCTCCGTTCCTCTCACCTTCTCACCGTCCTCCGATGAGTCACCTGGAGGAACTGGTTACAGTCTGGGAATGAGCTGTGCTCCCAGGTCTCTTCCAGCCCAAAGTCTGGAAGAATCTCCACCACGAAGCTGCCCTGTGGTGAATGCACTTGCTTTGGTCCAGGCTTCAGAGGGGCTCCCAGGTGCTTAGTAGTGAGAAGCCCGCCCACCAGTGCAGGAGACGCGGGTTCCATCGCTGGGTCGGGAAGGTCCCCTGGAGGAGGGCATGGCTACTCACTCCAGTATTCTTACCTGGAGAATCCCATGGACAGAGGAGCCTGGTGAGCAACAGTCCATGAGGTCACAGAGAGTCAGACACAACTGAAGCTACTTAGCATGGATGAAGGCTTAGAAGAGGTTCAGATTTTTTGAAAGAGAGGAAAGAAGGAAGGAAGAAGAGAAAAGAAAAGAATTGCATTATTTAGGGTTTACTTTTGGAGCATCGTTTTTTTGGTCCTGGTTAATAGTCTTTATCAACTAAACCTAGGCTCAAAAAAGGAGAAAAGCAGACATTTATTGCTGAGTCACAAATAAGGTGTAATTCTTCTCTGGGAAATTCACTTGTAAATCAGAGACACCATAGGATAAAGGTTCAGAATATATCAAACTTGTCAAAGTTTTAACAAACTGAAATTGCTGTTTCCTTTAATCAGATAGAACCATCACGTTTGGTATTTTGAGATACTTGGCAGAGTCCTGAAATTAAAAGAGTCAAATTGTTGTTGCTTATCATGAGTTGGATAGGGTACTTTTTAAGTTGTGCCTGAGGTCACTGATATCTGCCTTTCAGGAGAAGCTAAAACTCAGTATATGTTTTTGTAAATTAGTTGTATTGAAAGTGCCCTATCCCCCACAACTGTGTCAGTTAGCTTTGCTGAGTAACAAACCACCCCAATCTTGATAACCTGGGTGAACCGTTAATGCTTCCTGCACGTCTGAGTGTTGGCTTGGAGGGTCTCCTGGCTTGGCCTGGCTCAGAGGGCCGAGGGGCTGGCACGGCCTCACTCCTGAGTCTGGGCCCAGCCGGAAGCTGTCTGCGTGTGGCCCTCGCCCTCCAGCGAGCTGGCCTGGCCGGGTTGGCATGGGCATGGGCGTGCGAGGTGGGAGCCGTGAGGTCCCGGCAGCTTCTGCTGTGTCCCCCTGCCGGCCAGCCGGGCTCCGGGGCGGGGAGGTGTTCGGAGGGGGGAGCACTCGCCAGGCCTTCCCAGCTGGGCTCCGGGGCGGGGAGGTGTGCGGAGCAGGGAGCACTCACGAGGCCTTCCCAGCAGCCGTTGCCGGCAGTCAGGACCGCGGTCTCTGCAAAGAAACTGTCCCGGAGCCCTGGTGCCGGTGTCACATCTGCTGACACACCTCTCGGGCTGCACGGGAAGGGCTGCAGAGAAGGCGTGCCCACACTGCCCCGCCCCCCGTGGGTCCCGGACGCAGGGTCGAGGCTGCCTTCCGCCTGGGCCCCCTCCCTGCCCCTCCATCACCGCCCCCTGTGTCCCTGCCAGCACCGCCCCCTCGCCCAGCAGGCTGGCACTGAGAGGCGTGCTGTGGCCCTGTGGTTGCTCTGCGCTGGGGGCTGGTGTGGACGCGGGTGCCTGGCGGGAGGTCCCTGGCCGGTGGCCTCTGTCGGTAGCTCAGAGGAGGTCTCGTGGGCCTGGAGCCAGGCTCTGCTGCTGAAGGCAGCTCAGGGCAGCGAGGCTGCGTCCATGTGTGGCCCAGGGCCGGGCGGGGCACGGACAAGCGGGGGGGCGGGGGGGGGAGTGCTCTCTCCTGGAGGGTCTTTGTTTCTCCCCATGCAGCAGCGTCCTCCGACCTTAGGGACTCACTGGCTGTTTGTGGCTGCTCTCTGGCCACCCACGCCTAGCGTGTGCTTGTTTGGCTTACTTACCCCTAAGTGTCCCATGGTCGTGTCAGTGAACCCACAGGCTGATGTGCTGACCTTCCCTCCTGGAACTGACGATGGCGCAGCGTGGTGAGGCCCACGACGACGCTGAAGGTTCCGTCTCAGGGGCGGAGGATGCAGTTAGTAGTGTGGTTACTTTCGAAGCGTTGTCTCTGCCTCTGTGAGAAGTCCCCCGGGCTGAGTCTGACGGGCAGCCCCCACCCTGCCCCCTGCCCCACAGGCCCCAGCTCGTCCCCTCCCCCCGGAGCCTTGGCTCCACCCACCACCCATGGGGCCCCTGCACAACCCCGGACCCCAAGCTGCCGCCCGGGCGCCCCACAGTCAGCAGCTCCGAAGCTGGGCCTGCTTTGTCCGGAGCAGCGTTGCACACGTGGAGCAGCTTCACTGAGGTGTAACACATGGCCACACGGTCACCCACGTAGAGCGTACGCGGCAGAGGCTGTAACATGGTCACAGACGTGCACTGCCGTCACTGCGGTCAGCTGCCCGGTGTCTCATCCTCAAGGGGACCCCCATGCCCTTCAGCTGCCACCCCCCCACCCCACCAGTGTGCTCTACCCCTGCCCTGCCCCGAGCGACTGAGACCCGCATCCTGTCCCTGCAGACGTGAGTCTCTGTCCTTCCCCCTGAGCGTCCTGTCCCCACAGACGTGTCTGTGTCCTTCCCTCTGAGCGTCCAGGACCTGCATCCTGTCCCCGCAGACGTTGAGTCTCTGTCCGTCCCCCTGAGTGTCCGGGACCCGAGTCGTGTCCCTGCAGACATGAGTCTCTGTCCGTCCCCCTGACCGTCCAGGACCTGCGTCCTGTCCCCACAGATGGGAGTCTCTGTCCTTCCCCCTGAGGGTCCTGTCCCCGCGGACATGAGTCTCCATCTGTCCCCCTGAGTGTCCTGTCCCCGTGGACGTGAGTCTCTGTCCGTCCCTCTGAGCGTCCGGGACCTGCGTCCTGTCTCTGCAGACGTGAGTCTCCGTCCGTCTCCCTGAGGGTCCTGTCCCCAAGGACATGAGTCTCCGTCTGTCCCCCTGAGTGTCCTGTCCCCGTGGACGTGAGTCTCTGTCCTTCCCTCTGAGCGTCCTGTCCCCGCGGACGTGAGTCTCTGTCCATCCCTCTGAGGGGCTGCGCGTGGCCTTCTGTGGCTAGCTCCCCGCAAACATGCTGTGTCAGGGATCCTCTGTGGAGCAGAGTGTGTGGTACTGTTTCCCTTTTGCTGGAGGAATGGCACTCCATGGTGCCTGCGGGGAGAGAGAAAAGTATCACATGGCGACAGTCAGGCCCTCTGGCCGCCCGGCTGCTCCTGCCCGCCGTTTGTAAAGCTGCGGCTATGTGTCAGCTGAGCCCACTGCCCCTGTGCGTGCGTGTCACCACCTCCTTGCTTGGCCGCGGGCCACGTTTGCTCTCTAAACACGTGTAAGCCCCACCTGAGAAGCCCTGTGTTGCCTTGCGGCCGTGTCCGCTGCTCAGCCACGAGAGCGTGCAGCGCGCCTGCCGTCCCTGCGGCCCCTCGACTTTTCTTCCCGCTTCCTCGCTCGTGCCTGGCCTACCGCGGCTTCAGCGAACCATGTGAATGGCGAGACGGTACCGCAGCCCCGTTCTCTCCTCCACTGTCAGCTGG